TCTTTTTCCACGTTTCCCAGAAAGGAAATCAAGCCGTGTTCTATTTTCTTCGTTATTACTTTTGTTTTTTTCTTCAATCAAGAGGAAGCAGAAATTACGTCCGCAAAAGCCAGTTGTTACTTTTTCTCGAGTGACTCTCTGTTTTTCACGCGCGTCGAATGTGTTTAAACGAACGCGTGCAGATCGCGCTGAAGATTCGTAGGTATGTGCTTTTCAAATAAGAAAAATTCAAACAGAAATTTTTACTTTTCGTTTCGCGAGTGAGACTTGTGCTCGCGTTTTTCACTTGGGTGCGTTTTTTTGTCTTTTTTTCCCTTGAATTTTAGCGTCGTTGAAATTTCAAAGAGAACGAGACTGCGAGGAAGCGGAGGCGCTGCAGTACGCAGATCAAATTTTGACGACTTTGAGCTACGGGAAACACAATGAGAAAAAAAAAAAATAGAAAAAAAAAAGAAGAGAGAAAAACAAATTGTCAGAAGTCACGAACTAAAAGGTGCGAAAATGATCAGTCCAGTAGCTATCTATATAGATATACTATGCCCGTTTCCAGTAATGCCAATCAGGTCGAGGTGGTATCAACGACGCCTCGAGTAACAGACGTGCACACGAATCTCTCTGTAGGCACACACACATCGTGACTATTCCTGGACGGCCAATATATTCGTCGTTATAAATGCGTATAAGAAACATTATCCTATTACGATATGAGCAACAACATCAAAGCCCAGTCTATAACAGCGTACGTGAAGAGCGCAGAGCATGTGAGCTTCTTATAGTAATTCAGCGAGAGAACGGAAAAAACCTTTGGCTGTCGAGAGAAATTAATTTATGGACACGAAGTGTGATTCGCGTGGCATGCGGCATGATTCGTGTTAAAGAGATGATGAGCGAACAATTCGGTGATTTAAACTGATTCCAAACACGTACCCAAAAAGGATACTTAATATCGCGTTACGTGTTTCTTCCTTTTTTTTTTTCTCTTTCGTTCAAGCCCACCGAATTCTTCGTGCGATGAAGGCAACGACATCGTATACAGGTTTTTCTTTTCTTTTCTTTTCTTTGTACTGTTCGTACCACGTTCTGAGTACTTCTCTCCTGCGAGTATTAGAAATCTCGAAAGATCGAACGCGTGAAGAGTAAAACGCGACACGTGTACGCGAACCGCGGATAACAATAGCAACGTTTGTAAAAAAGGATGAAAACGTTTACCTGTTCTGGGCGATTTTCCTCAGCGTGTCCGGGCTTCGTATCAGCTTGTCCAACGTTTGAGTAAGATTGGCGAACGTTGGACGATGGGTCCTCTCTTTTTGCCAGCAGTCGAGCATCAGCTGATAGATCGCCTCTGGACAGTCCATCGGTGCTGGAAGCCTGTATCCTTTCTCGATCGACTTTATCACATCCTGATTAGACCAGTTCCAATAGGGTCTCTCACCGTAGGACATCACCTCCCAACAAACGATGCCCATGCTCCATACGTCGGAAGCGCTGGTGAACTTTCGGAATGCTATCGCTTCTGGAGCTGTCCATCGTACCGGGATCTTTCCACCCTTTTTGCCGGAGTAAACAGTCTTTCAAGATTCGATATTTGAAAGTTTCGTTTCCGAGTGACGAGACCTCGGATCGGTGTCTCGTCAAAGGAGTAGCGGCGAACGTAACGATAAGAGTACTTACCCTGGTAGTGTACGCTCCCTCCGTAGCACTCTCGATCTCTCTGCTCAGCCCGAAATCGGCGATCTTACATACGAGGGCAGCGTTCACGAGCACGTTCCTCGCCGCGAGATCTCGATGCACGTAGTTCATCTCCGCCAGATACTGCATACCACTCGCGATACCACGAAGCATACCAACTAATTGTAGCACCTGGAACTTGCCGTCGTTCGCCCGCAAAAAGGTGTCCAGGCTACCGTTCTCCATGAACTCGGTGATGATCATCACTGGATTACTCTTGGTCACGACACCTTGCAGGAATATCACGTTCGGATGCTCGAATTGACCCATGATCGACGCCTCTGTGAGAAAATCATTGCGAGCCTTGTCCGCGGAGCCTGGTTTCAACGTCTTGATCGCCACGTCGATCTCTGTTCGACCATCTGGCGGCAGTTTCAATTTTCCGCGGCAAACGTCGCCGAATTCTCCGCCACCTATCGACCAACGAAGGGAGGGGGTTGATAGAATCGAATTAGCCGACGATTGCGGAGGATCCAAGTGTTGGGGAAAAAAGTGGGATTTCGTGTTTACGTGTACCTATGATGGCCTCTATAGTGATATATCCCGCGTCGATTTCACGAGCAAATTCGCGTACAGCTTGATTCGGATCCTCGTACGTGTGAGGATCGACGTAACTCCTGGCGCCTCCGCCACCTGCACCGCCTGCACTCGCCGCGGCGACTCCCACTGCAGGTGTGAACAGCGGCGTGGTCACTGCAACGTCACCAAAACAGAGTTCATTATATTAACACGAGGGCCGGTGTGTTAAATTTTTACGGAATCTCGGAGCGAGAGAATCAGAGAACAGCATTCGCTCCGTGCCTGCGTCAACCGTTTACATCCCGTGAAAACACTCACACACCTTCCTCTTTAAAACGACATTTCCAACGTCCAAGATAGAGTTGTAATACGAGAGAGCACAATTGAGATACGACTATAAAAAACATACTAGAGCTTTCTGAAGCCTCGTCTAAATGTATTTGCTCTTAGAAAAAGTAATTCTCTATCCTGTGACGAGTAATTCTTATCGAACAAGATCTATTTGGACAAAATTTGTCGAAACTAACGTGGAAAACTAGGGAAAACAAAAAAAAAAATGAGAAAAAAAAATAGAAGGAGGAGGAACGAGAACAATTTACTAATTCCACTACGTGGGTATAATTAAAATGAGATGTAAAAAAAAAAAAAGAAATCAAATCTAGAGGTTCGCGTTGTAACTAGTTTTCATGCCAGCGTAGAAATCCTCGCATGCCTAATACGCCAAATGATCTCAATTACGATGCATCAGATTGAATGACGTCGGTCGTAGCACGGAGTGCAAGAGGATGCTCCGGTCGAATCGAATTACTTCGTCGCCCGTTAATTTACATCCGCGAATGCATCTGCGACTACTCGCTGCTCTGTGTGCAGTCAAATTAATTCGAGTTCCACCGAAACATCCACTATTTCCCGCACGTCCGCGCGCACCACGCATGTGTTACAGACGATCGGGAGAGATCGGCGACCGGCTGAAAAGAAGTGGACGATGCAAGAGTACCACGAGAACACGATGCAATTACAACAACGTGAAAAAAAAAATAAGTAAAAAATAACAGAACATCAAAGGAATCTCATGCTTCCTTTCGTGCTTATCGTCTACGTAAAAAAGAGTGTCCAAGGTGAATGGACAGAGAGAGAGAGAGAGAGAGAGAGAGAAATAAAGAAGAACAGAGAGACAGAGAGGAAAAGTGAGGTACGTAGCGCAAAACAAGAAAAGGGTCAATGGTTGTGTGTACGAGTTCTAAATTAGCGTAAAAAGTGTCTCGTAATTTCTGCACGATCGAGAGTTGTATTTCGTGCACTTCCTCCGGATTGAACAAAATTTCGGAACGAGTCTCTTTACTGTTTTTTTTCTTTTTTTTTTGTTTTTTTTTTTATTGGGACAGATTAAGGACTTACGCGAGGACTTGCTCTTGTTGTTGGTGTGGGTTGTCACAATCGGTGAACTGTCCATTTTGCAGTGCACTGTGAACAACACAACAACCAACACACTAATTGACAAACAGCAAACAAAAAGAAGCGGTGGGTGTTCGATGAACGGTTTTTAATGAACGTGAAGCGAGAGGAGGCTGCGACTTGAGAAAAGAATTTCGAAAGAAAATTTAACAAGTAAAACACTATCGGGCGCACGACGACGATACGTCGATCGGATGTTCCTCTAAGGTTACACTATTACCACTTTCCGTCTTCGTCTCCCGCGATAGTTTCGCGTTGCGAATTAAAAACACAAGACAAATACAACGAAACATAAAGTAACACATATAAAAATGAAACAAGTGCAGTGCCAACGACAACACACTAACAAGAATAAACATGCACAACGTAGATACATTTAACGATGCAAGCACAAAGCACGTACACGCACGTTTCCTCGAGAAATACTTCATCACAGAGAAGTTTGCAAACGTCGTGCGTGTCTGTTTCGTTTGGCGAAACGCGAAACAGATAAAGGTCGTGCGTGTCCGTGCGTTAAAAAAAAAAAAAAAAAAGAAGAAGTAATTCGGAACGCGATTCAAAAAGAGATGCATGTACAAAGGGGGTGCAAAAAAGTAACTACGTAAAACCGAGTTCCTAGAAAAAAAATTTGAGGTGTTGGAGAAGACTTACTGTAGGTCACAACTAGTCCTGTAGTAGCAGGCGATTGTGTACATTGTTTCATTGGGTTTTTTCATGGATTTTTCATGGAGGCAGGTTCGATAGATTAGGGGGATCGCACATGAAAAGAAAGAATCGAAAGAATTTGGTTAGAATAATGCCGCTTAATCAGTGGGCCGGATCGGTATGAATTTTGCTCGAAAAAAAGGCGATCGTCTCTCATTTCTTTGCTTACTTCCTGGCCTTAAAAAAAAAAGAAAAACTTTGTTCCGACAACTTCGACAACTTTCTTTTCGCACACTTTTATCTTTTTTCTCTTTCCCGTTTGTTCTTTTCTTTACAAGGGAGCCACTGTTTCAATAATCTTCCTTTCGTTTTAAAGAAAGAGAAGAGAGAGAGAGAGAGTGAGAGTGAGAGAGAGAGAGAGAGAGAGAGAGAAAGACAGAGTGAGAGAAACTTCTAAAAAAGTACTGGGTGTTTAGCCACAAGACATTATCATGGGGTACTGTATATACTGTGAGGGGCGAGGGGCGGGCTGGGGTCGATACTTGCTGGGTCTAACGGGGTTGGTGATTCAAAAATATTAGTCACAAGACACGAGGGCGTAGTGAAAACAACTATGAAAGTGACAGGGGGTAGTAGCGATAATAAATTTATAAAGAAAAGAGAATCGAGCCTGTCGGCATCGGACAAACGTACCTTCGCCGTTCCTGTACTCCAAAGTATCGCAGTCACTTGGCTGTTTTTTGTTGCATTCGTCCGAGGCCCTGCTGCATCGAAATCACACCAAATCAATAGGTACTCAAACAAAACGTAAGGCAGAAAAAGAAGGAAAGATACTCGAGCAAATTCAATCGAATTCTCCTCTAATTCACGAACTTGAAACGCTACCGTTAAAAGCAATTTGTTTACCTTCTTAAAATCAGAACAGTCATGATGATGATGATCACGAGAAGAACCACCACAGCCACGATAGCTCCTGCTATGATCCTCACTTGCATGTTGTCGTCCTCTCCAACGTAATCTTTAACAAAATTGAACACGCTCCGTAGCGAGAACGAACCTAAATTGATCTCGATTAAAACGGAATCCCCGATAATCACCTAGACCCATGGCATGCGGTGTTTTCTTATACACCACGGGTGTGTACTCGCCCCAACCGCGCGTAGTCTTTGCTCTCACTTGTACCGCATAATCAGTCGACGGTTTTAGGCCTTTGAACGTGGCGGATAAATCGGAGGTTTGAACAACTGTCGCGTTGGTTGCGTCGTCGTAACGCGGATAACACCTCACTGAAACGTAAACGAGAACGGGAACGTGGTTCGATGAATTTCACGTAAAAGGAAGGTAGAGAACCATCAGGTAGATGGAAACCGATCAATCTCACCTTCGTATCTCTCGACCAGATCGCTGTCTCCGCCAACTTCGGTCACCGGAGCGTCCCAACTGATGCTCAGTTCGGAACTTTTCACACTGGTGATCCTCACGTTGCTCACCAAACTGGGCACGCTGGCTTCCGTGGTCACAGTGATGTCCACGTATTCAGACTTTCTAGCCAAGGCAGACACACCGTTTTCAGCGAACACTTGGAATCGATATGTGGTAACCGCGTTCAACCCCGTTATCGTGATTTTCGTGTCGTTGAAAACGTCCTGTTTTTTCGTTGGTTTTTTGTTTTTTTGTTTTTTTTTTTGGACAGAAACCAGAACAGATCAGACTTTGTTCCATGGCGTGCTACTGCAAAGACAAAAGAACGAAAAGAAAAGAGGGACCGAGACTCACGGTGTTGGGAATGTATTTGACACCCATGCTACAGGCGTCGCAGACCACCCTGTAAGTTGTGTCTGTTCTTCCACCCAGCATGTGCGGCGCATTCCAGGACAGAATCACCGTAGACTGGTCGACAAAGTTCACCGTCAAATTTTGCGGCGCAGACGGTGGCTCTGCAATGTTACACGGAACGATTAAACCTTCCTCGAACGATAGTATATTTCGGCAATGGTTTTTTTTTTTCACCATTTGAAAACACACTCACGTGTACAAGGCATCTTCTTAGGATCCTTCTCGGCTCTATAATAATCAGGATTGCATCGACATTCCGTGAATCCGTAATCAGACGACTTGCTGTGTTCCGGGCAGGCCTCGCAGTTGTGCGACCCTGCTTCGTGCTTGAATTTACCGATCGGGCACTCGGTGCATTCTTGTTTCTCGACGTCAGCTTGGTATCCAGGCTTGCAGTGGCATCCACCGTTCGGCAGGTACCATTTCCCGTCTCCTTTGCAAAGGAAGGTGGGCTGTTCGATCACCATAGCATTGTCCACGCATGTACCGATCGTCTGTTCAATCAACGCGACTTCTCGTCCAGTTGGCGTGGCTGGGAAGTGTGCAAAGTTCACAGATATCTCCGGACAGCTGATATAATAGACTTTAATCGCCAGAATAGAGATGCAAGCGCCTTGATCCCGGAAAGCAAAGTACACGCCCTTCTTCGTCACTGGAATCGACTTCACTTCCGTGTTTATCACCACTTCCGTATTCGTGTTGAACCTTCCCTCGCCAGCAGCGATACGTCCTGCGAAATCAAACGTCGGGGGGAAATCGTCGGGAGTTTTTTTTTTTCCCCGAGGAACTATACCACGGGGAAAAGTTTTCGACGTAAAAGTCGAGAAGCAGATAGAGGAGAGAGGGTGAAGGAGTTTGGCGAGCTTACCGATCAACTTGTAACTGTCCGTCTCCCATGGCGGCGGTTCCTTGGTGGCCACGTCGAACTCGTAGTAAAGCAGACTGAACGTTTCCTTGCAGCTGAGCGCGTTCCCGGGGAATAACGAGCAGTCACGTGTGGTGAATTTGATTTCTATGTACATGCGATTCGCCGGTCCCCTCTCTATGAACGGTGTCCACAGCCAATTGTTCACGTTGTTGTACGCGACATCGCAGACAACGTAACTCCGCCAATTGATGCCCTTGTCGAAGTTCGTGAACGACTCTTCCACCCACTGCAATCAAACGAGCACACGGGACGATCTTAATTTCGTACACGATTTCGTCGAATTAAATACGACGAAAACACGTCGTCGATCACCCTTTTTCTTTATAAACCCACGCGTGGCGTTCGTGAACGACGAACCGGGATAAGATAAACGGAGTTTAAATAACACCGAAGTTACGCTACCACAGCGAGATATTCCGGGTTCCCAATCCTCTCTAAAGAAGCAGAGAGAGAGAGAGAGAGACGTTCTCGGTGTGTTTGCGTTCGGATTACGCGAGATTCCATCGAGTCAGCATCTACGAAATCAGCTTTGCTCGAACCCCTCGTTCGCAACTTCCTCTCGCTCTCCGCTACGCTTCAAGGTCTTCCCATTGATTTCAACCCCCTTGATGATATTTACAGAAACAACGAAGACGGATTACCGTCTCTTGGATTCCGGAGTTCCAAAGAATCCGGAGCCAGACGACAAAGAGAGCCGAGGAGCGTTCGTCGAACAGATTTATTCCCCTGGCGGGAGGGAGGGAGGGAAGGAGGCCAGTTCTGCTGGATAGAGACGCTTTCCGATCTCTATCGTCTCGATCCCGTAGACAGTGACGGGAGGGACACTAAGAGAGACAGAGAGAGTAGGTTCACGGATGGTCCATGTCCGATCCGAGGAACCACTTGTCCGTCGACGTTGCACGCGGTATCCTCCCTCGGCAAATGATGAGGCGGAGAGGCCAGGTCGTCGACTTGCGACAAACAGACCGCAAGGAATTACCGGCGCGCGTTACCATTAGTTTTATTGCCCCCCTCGGCTTGGGCTCGTCCCGAGAGAGACCGCAAAAAGTTCCGACCGAGCAAGAAGGACCCGTCGTCTTCGTCCTCCTCCTCCTCCTGCTCCTCCAACTCCTCCTCCTCATGCTGCTCCAGCTCGTCCTTGTCGTCGTCGTCGTCGTCGTCGTCGTCGTCGTCGTCATCGTCCTCCGTGGACAGACTATGCTTCTCTTTCTCTTTCGATACCTCGCAGGAGGAAAGGCCACTACGTAGGTAAGAAGGGGCAAAAAACGGTAGATCGAGAAGACCGGGCTTCTTACCCAGAAGATTTTCTTGCGGACGTGTTTCCGGCAGGGAGGCCGCAATAAATTCAGCCGTACGGTTACTCAGTAGCACAAAGAGATTATTACGGGGGAAAGATGACGAGCAGGACGAGGAGAAGAGAAAAGAAGAAGAAAAAAAAACGATTTCGTTTCGGTGGATGGACGAAGGAGTGGAGCCAGAGCGATCTGAGGAATTGTGGCGGCATTAAAGAACCACGCGATTTAACTCTTCACCTTTGTAATAAACCTTACCCTTAACTGCAACTATAATTCCAATTTATAAAACGGAGAATTAGCAAGCTGTTAGATGTGTATAATTATATACAGTATATCCGGAGTAATTGACGGTAAAAAGAAAGAAAGAAAGAGAAAAAGAGGAAAAAGAAATTCAACCAGACCGTTGCAATTGCGGGCGAAACGAGACTCGGACCAAGTGTTATCCTCTCTCGGCACGAGGAGAATCGTAAGAGGCCAGAAAGTAATATTGTAGCGCGAAGATTATTAGAGGAAGGAAGAAAAGTCCTAGAGATGTTATTTCGACGCCTACGCGGGAGCTTTATCGCTTGGGAAATTGCGTTAGAACGGTAAATTCCACCCCCGACCGTTTCACTCTCTCTCTCTTCCTTCGTGTCCCTTTGCCCCTCTCTCCTGTCTTCTCTCCGCTGCGCTTTTACTTCATTCTTTCGTCAGAGCCTTGCAGAGCTGCCGCGAAGTAGAAAAAAGACAGAGCACGCGCGTCGTTAACGCCGCGGAATTTAATTGGATCCCGCCGAGACGTCCTCTTTTAACGCGCCGCGTCAATTTTTCGGCGAGCCGGATTTCCCAACGGCGCGATTCTCCTGTGAAATTACTCATCAGTGGCGCAACGAGGGTGAGAGAGGGAGAGAGAGAGAGAGGGAGAGAAAAAGAAAAGGAAAAGTGGAAGAACGGGGACGGAATAACGAAACGAGAAATTGAAAGATACATCGATGTCCAAGGATACTTCTTCAATTTCCCCCCTTTTCCCAACTTCCGCTGGTTTTGCCGGTGATTTTAAATGAAATTAATTACGCCACTTAACGTGTTTCGCGCCTCGGCTTCGTTAGCGTGCCGCATGCAAGATTAGCACCGAGCAATTTCGCTCTCTTTATCGCGTGAAACGCCGCAAATTCACAGGATCT